CCAAAAAAAAGCAATATATAAATCATCTCTTTCTCTCCCCCCCCCCCTCTCTCTCTCTCTCTCTTTCTCTCCCCCCTCTCTCTCTCTCTCTTTCTGTACATTTTTAGCTTATATATATTCACTTATATTACGTTAAACATTCTGAATATTAATTTCGCACACATTTGGCGTGACTTTTTTTTCATGTCACCGATGTCACACACTCTAATTAGGTCTAATGTACCTGCATACATGTGCGCGCGAAATAATTGAGGTAGTGCGGTATCGCGGCGCCATCGAAATTTGTGCAAATCTGATATACCAGCCAATTATTCTAATCACGCTTCCGCAAATTCGCGCACATACATATACACAGATATTGTCTTTCGCAAATCGATGATGTAAGATCACATGGAACGTTGTGGAATGACAATATAAATATGAGCACAGATACATTTTTATCCAGTTGATGAATTAAACCTCGATCGCAGTTGTTCATTTTCCTGTCACTAAACTACAGAAAAATGAAGAGAATCGCGCTTCTCGTTTTAACTGTCGCTGCTAATGTAAGTACAACTTGTCATTTATCATTTCTGCGATAAACTATATCTACATTGCAATAATTATATATATTTTCCATATATCCTTTTTCTTTTCTTACTTTGTACAAATACAACAAATTAAATAGAACACTTCATATAATTTAATTATTTCGAGTAATATTTAAAATATATAAAAATATTAGAAAATCTTAAGTAAAATTTCTTTTAAAATATAAAATAAATAAAAATATGTATACTGTATAACATATACTTTTTCATTATTATAAATTGCTATTAGTACACTTTTCTTATATTTTATGTTATAAACTTTATGCAATATTCTTTTATTACAATCATTAACTGTAATATTATGAAAATAACAAAGAATATGATTATTTTAGGTAATTGCAAATGAAGAAGAGAACATACAACAAGTAGCGACGAATTTCGAAACCGATGTATCGACGGTAAAAATATGTCTGACTGAAGCTGGCACGACTGCGGGTAAGTTACACTCATACACACTATATATATATTTCAAAAATATAAGATTTTAGAAATTAGAAATAATATATAATTTACAACTTAGCATCTAGCATTGAAAATTTACAATCTGTAATTTAAAATTTTTAATATCATTTTTAAAATTAATTTGATATCTTAATCTATAAATAAAAATTTAGTATTTAAAATGTATAAATATATATAAATATATTATAAGTAAATTCATAAATAAAAAATAACTTTAGCATTTTTAGAATTTGTTTTATTATGTAATTTTTATAAATTCTTTCTCTCTCGCGTGCGCGCATAAAAAGACACAAAGAAAAAGATAACATAAATAAAAAATTTACTTAAAAATTTATTTAAAATTTACTTAAATTTATACATTAAAATTTAACTTTTTTGCAAACATTTCCATTGAAAAATATCCTTAATTTTCTGCAATTAAAAATATTTTTCCATAACAGAGCAGATGCAAATTACAAAACAAAAATGGCAGGAAATCAAAGATGATGAAGACATCGACGAAGAAACTAAAGAATCTTTTACGACACACGGTCGTTTCGTAGCATGCATATTGGAGAAGAACGATATGGTAACAATTCCACATACGCAATTTTAATTATTATACAAAATTTTCGTTATAATTATAACCAGATTGACTTTTATATACAATATAAAAATACAATCTTTCTTAAGTCATCACTATCCCAATTATTTCCATTGGAAAAGATGTTAAATACTACATTAAATATTATAACAACAATTTATGACAATTTGATTATAAAAAATTAATTTAAATTATAATATATTTTTGAAGCTGATATATTTCTCTTAAACCATGAATTTTGTCGGATTAATAGTTTTTCTATAATTCTTTATATATACATATGTATATATCATAAAATATATATATTATACATTAAAATATACATATAATATATGACATGTGTGTGTGTGTGTGTGTGTTACATCTCGGTAATATATATCAATAAACATGCACACAAAAAGTTATAAATATTAATAAACTATCTGTTTGATGAATAAATAAAATCAAATATAATTAAATTAATTCTATTCAAAATTAAATACAAAATTATTGCAAAAATTATTCTCTTACATATCGTTAATTGACAATAAATATAAGGTTTCATGTTTTTTTTATGTCACGTTTCTTTTCAATAATTTTTAGATGAAAGATTCGAAGCTAGTTTTAGACAAAATACTAGAAGCGGTCGAAAAGGAACCGAATGACCCAACAGTAACGAAGAACAAACAAGTTGTAACGGAATGCGTGACTTCACGTAAGTAATACCTTAAAATAAATAAAGAAAAAAAGAAAAATATATATAAATAAATAGTAAATTAAAAAAATAAGTTAATAAGGGAACAAATATTAATATATTTTAACATAAATTTTATAATACATATATTTCTGCATAATTTTTATATTGTGTGTAATATTTCTAATAATTTCTCCTTTTTAATTTTTTCAGTGAACGAAGCTGACCAACTGAATCGGGAAGATAGGGCATTCGGACTTATGCTTTGCATAAATCGCAAGCAGCAGACTACAGAAAGATAAAAAATGAAAAAAGGAATTTGCGCGACATGTAACGTTATCTAGATCGAAAAAATCGCGATTCTTCCTACAGTGCAATGGTAATACTAAAAAGAAAAATTTCATCGGGGTTTAAGGAAAATAAGATACCGTTTTTTCTCCCTTCTTGTAGACTCACAATATTCTTATAAACTCACAATAAACCTTGTTGCTTGTATCATGTTATTGATGTTAAATAAAACCAATTAGTTAAAAATTTGGTAACTCATTTACATAATCTGTACAACACATTAACGTAATAAAATGAATTTAAAAAAACCTATTTTGAAATGCAGCAATTTAAAAAAAAAAAGACAGAATAAGAAAATTATCACAGCTAGATTCTTGCATGTAACTTTTTGAGTTAAAAGCACTCTTTAAAAACAATGTAATAAAAAATAAAAATTTCATTAATTTATTGAAATCTAAAACATAAATTAAAAATAAAGAAATAAGATATATATAATGTACTCAGTACATAAAATTTTCAAGATTCTTGAATGTATATGAATGTATACATATTATAGACGATTCAATCTATTTATCTTATGATATAAAATGTATCGCATATCTGTAATCTTCATGTTTCGATTTTTAACTCTCGCGAGTCAGATAAAAGTGATATGTTGAGAACAGCAAAACAGAAAAGCGATAAAAGCATATTAACTGATTATACATAAATGTAATTACTAGTATCATACAAGCTTTATTTAAATTTAATTTAAAGATTACAAAACACATTTTAAAAATTTAATTTATATCGTAAAACAATATTATATTTTTGCAAATATCGTTCGGACCAAAAAGCAATGTTGTAAGAATATAGAACTAATCCTCGCGCACTCACATAAATAAGATCGCGTAAAATCGCTTATTCACAATTTAAGAACATGGGAAATCCCCGAAGTAATTACGTTCGGAAATAACAATTTTCCTCGATTGCTGCTTCACAATTCTTTTTCAACGCAATATTTGTTAGTTTAAATCTTATGTAAAAAAAAATTTTCGAAAATTTAAGAAATCCAAACTTTTCACGATAGATATTCACTTCAAACATTAATTCTTTCTGAAAACTTAAAATTTTTTAGAATATTTTAAAAATGCCGATTATTAAATTCTGGTCAAACATTGAGTATATTAAGATATTCAAGGTATTTTAAGGTATTGAATAATTTAAAAATAATAATATAGAAAGAAAATTGCAAAAAAAAAATGCTTATATAATGTATCAAAATTATTCAAAATTCTGAAAACACTTACAACAAAAGATGCGCCTTTAAATTGCAGGTAAGATATAAAAAATCTTGAATTTTTAGTATGACATTATATAATCAGTCTCTGTGTAAAATTATAATATTTTAGATCGATACGTGAGATATAAAAGGATACGTGACGCAAATGCGGCGTGAGTTTTTTTAATCATGGACCGCTAGTACAACAAGATTTTTCCTCCTACATCTTTTCTGTACACATAACACAGATAATATTGACGGCAAATTTCCTATAACGGTTTGTCGCGGTGGATGATGACCACATTTAGCGCTTGTATGAAGTATATAAATAGAGGTGTGTTGGCGCATCACTGTCAGTTCACAACGCGGCATCGAAAGTGTGTTATCAGTAAAATAAAGATCATGAAGTTCTTCGCGCTATTCGTCTGCCTGATGGCAATCGCCGTAACCCATATTAACCTGGCACGCCCACCACGAAAAATCGGGTTCGGCCATAGTGCATAATTAAGTGCTAATTTGTTGCTAATTTATTGCTCTAAGTTCGAATTTATTGCTCCTACCCGTTAGCAGGAAAATGATATTAAAGATGGGGGTGCTGACTTGCCATTAAGCTAGCACCCCCACTTCCGAAAAACACTTATAGCGAGTCGCAAATCATAAAACAAATACACTAGAATTTATTGCTAATGGATTTTTCTAAGTTAAACGTTGAGCAATAAATTTGATATTATATATTTTGAGAGCAACAAATTAGAGAAACATTTTAAGACCAAAATCATTACAGCAACTAATTGCGTTCATGTACTTTACTCTTGTACGAACGCTAGCACCGCCACTCTTTTGGGTCGATTTTTCTAAGTCAAACGTGGAGCAAAAAATTCGATATTCTATATCTTGAGAGCAACAAATTAGAGAAACATTTTAAGACCAAAATAATAACAGCAACTAATTGCGTTCATGTACTTTACTCTTGTACGAACGCTAGCACCGCCACTCTTTTGGGTCGATTTTTCTAAGTCAAACGTGGAGCAATAAATTCGATATTATATATCTTGAGAGCAACAAATTAGGGAAACATTTTAAGACCAAAATAATAACAGCAACTAATTGCGTTCATGTACTTTACTCTTGTACGAACGCTAGCACCGCCACTCTTTCGGGTCGATTTTTCTAAGTCAAACGTGGAGCAATAAATTCGATATTATATATCTTGAGAGCAACAAATTAGGGAAACATTTTAAGACCAAAATAATAACAGCAACTAATTGCGTTCATGTACTTTACTCTTGTACGAACGCTAGCACCGCCACTCTTTCGGGTCGATTTTTCTAAGTCAAACGTGGAGCAATAAATTCGATATTATATATCTTGAGAGCAACAAATTAGGGAAACATTTTAAGACCAAAATAATAACAGCAACTAATTGCGTTCATGTACTTTACTCTTGTACGAACGCTAGCACCGCCACTCTTTCGGGTCGATTTTTCTAAGTCAAACGTGGAGCAATAAATTCGATATTATATATCTTGAGAGCAACAAATTAGAGAAACATTTTAAGACCAAAATAATAACAGCAACTAATTGCGTTCATGTACTTTACTCTTGTACGAACGCTAACA